CTTAGATGCTTCCTACTCCTGCTGCATTTAAAGCAGCTTAAAAACAGTCGCCCGTCCCAGCTTTCTTGCAAGACTGTCAGGTAGGCCTGCTGCTGTTGGGTTCTCTCCACACTGCAGCCTTTGACCCCTGCGCAGGGCAAGGTCCATGAGATCCATCGGTCGGCTTCATCCAGCAGCCGCTGTCCGGAGCGATGCCTCAAGTTCCTTCCCTGTCTCGGGATTTGGGGGGGTCCTGGAGCGTGAAGTCATGTTGCTCCCGTGGCTGGCCGGCTGGCTTCACAATTTGAGCAGGAGTTGCAGCGTCCTCAGAAGAGCCTCTTCGAAGCAAGCCTGGCTGCGGTTTCCCCGGGGGCGCGAGGGGGGCAGCCCCTTTGCTGACTCAGCTCCTCTCTTGCCTCTCCCGCCCTCCCCTTCCAGGGTCGATCCTCCCGGAGCTTTCGGAGCAGTTTGTCCCCCCTGATGTCGCCCCTCCGCTCCTGTGCCGGCTGGTGGATGCCATTGAAAAGAAGGGTGAGGAGGGGGCTTTCTTCTGCAGGTGCCTGCCGGCAGCCGTGTCTTGGGAGGGCGGCTCTGTGTGTGGCTTTGTGAGCCAGTTTAAGTGCGCGGACTCTGATCTGGGAGGACCGGGTTTGATTCCCTACTCCTCCACTCGCACCTGGCCGGACGACCTTGGGCAAGCCGTAGTTCTGATAAGAGCTGTTCTTGAAAAAGAGCCGTTTGTGCCAGAGCTCTCTCAGCCCAACCTACCTCACAGGGTGTCTGTTGTGGGGAGGGGAAGGGAAAGGAGTTTGTAAGCCGCTCTGAGACTCCTCTGGGTAGTGAAGGGCGGGGTATGAATCCAATCTCTTCTTCTTCTTCAGAAGATCCTCCATTAGTCCCCGGGGGGGCTGGAGTTGAAAGCAGGGCTCCGGGAAGGTCTTTCCTTGCTTGGAGAGCCCATACCAGCCAGGGGAGGCCAGACTATAACAGAGGGACCAGGGGCCCAACTCTGCACGTGGCACCTCCCTGGACGCTTGCTCTGACTGGCATGCAGGCAGTCCTCGGCTCAATGGCTCTCGCTGCCAAAGAAGAGGGTCTCCAGGGCCGGGAAAGACCTTTCTCTGTTCGAGAGCGGCTGCCAGTCAGAGGAGGCTACGGTGTCTTCGAGGGACCTGGGCAGAAGGCAGCCTCGTCCGTGCCTTGCCAGGCAACAGGGGCGCATGGGGTGGAGGAGGGTTTAGGAGGGGGGTGCTGAAGAGCATGGCAGGAGCCCCCATGGGACCTGCAGGCCCTTGGCCTTTCATGGGGGGGGGAACTGCCTGGGCCACCCACTTCCGAGGAGCTTTCCTTCTTCCAGGGCTCTTTTTGTAGAAAAAGCCCAGCAGGAACTCATTAGCATAATAGGCCACACCCAACCGCAGAAACTCATTAGCATATTAGGCCACCCCCCTGACAGCACAGCTCATTAGCACATTAGGCCACACCCCCATGTCACCAGAAGTGTGGTCATCCAGCCACACCCACCTTTTGCTTGTTATTCTGTTTACCTTGTTTGTTGTCAAAACCCAGGGCCTTTTTTTTGTAGCAGGAACTCCTTTGCATGTTAGGCCACACACCCCCTAATGTAGCCAATCCTGATGAGTGTCTCCCTGTGATGTGCGGCGTGCCAGGGGATAGCAGATGGTCATCGGGACCCACCAGGAAAAGCCTCCCTGGTGGAACCAATGCAGCGTGCCGTGTTCCCTCCCACAGGGCTGGAGAGCAAGATGCTGTACAGGGCACCAGGGGCTGAACTGAGGCCAGCGCTGAGAACCGGTAAGAACGAGGTGGGCCCAGAGTGGAGGGGCTGGAGCCCCTGAGAGCCTCCCCCCCCGCCCCCCCCAAAGCTGATCAGGTGGCAGAGATCAAAGGGCGGCCCTTTGATAAGGTTCCACATAATATTCTTGTAGACAAATTCGGAAAAATGTGGTTTGGATCCTATGACTGTGAGGTGGATCTGTAACTGGCTTGATAGATCGCACCCAAAGAGAGCCAGTTTGGTGTCGTGGTTAAGTGCGCAGAGCCTACGGGGAGGGCGGGATAAAAATCTAAATAATAAATAAATAAATTAATATAATCTGGGAAAACCGGGTTTGATTCCCCACTCCTCCACTCGCACCTGGCTGGATGACCTTGGGCAAGCCGTAGTTCTGTCAGAGCTGTTCTCTCAAGAGCAGTTCTCAAAAGAGCTGAGTTTCGAAGCCACTCTGAGACACCTTGGGTAGTGAAGGGCGGGGTATAAATCCAATCTCTTCTTCTTCGTCTTGTGAATGGTTCCTCATCTTCTTGGAGAGGAGTGACAAGGGGAGTGCCTCAAGGATCTGCCCTGGGAACTGTTTTGTTCAACATCTTTATCAATGACTTGGATGAAAGAATAGTAAAGGTAAAGGTTCCCTTGCTCGAAAGCCAGTCGAGTCCGACCCTAGGGTTGCGGTGCTCATCTCCGTTTCAAAGCCGAAGAGCCGGCACTGTCCGAAGACGTTTCCGTGGTCATGTGGCCAGCATGACTAAACACCAAGGCGCACGGAACGCTGTTACCTTCCCAC